ATTTTCCTTATGATGGTTTAGAATTTTCTTTTACTAGAGTATATAAAAATGAATGTGCATTCTTTTCTGCCTCTTAGGGGAGGGTTGGGTATAAACCCACCCATGTTGAATCAAAAGTAAACTAATCACTCAAGATAAAGAGAGTGGTGGTAAAAACAGGGTACATTTTGGTAGTGAATATGAACGTGGGGAAAAAAGATTTTTTAACTTCTGGAGACATAATAATAATAATAACTGGCATGTGCTACAGTGTGGGAACTGCTAAAGGTGGATGTCTGTGCCTGGGAAAAGTTTTGGGGATAACTTTGGCATGGCCCAAGGTAGGATTCTTCTGACTTTATTTCCTCATTGTGCTATTTCCTTTCTGAAAAGTTAAATTCCCACCTGGTTAATCCTGAGCCTTGCTTTTAACACCCTGTGACTACATGATTGGCTATTAGATATGACTCATTCCTGGAATCTAAGAGAGTCCCCCCTCCTCCCCATTATATGTACCTCTTTTTGCTTTTATAGCAAATTTCTATAATCAAGAAATTTTGTAAGTACAATATTAAATCTATTAAATAATAGATTGATACTGAAACATCTCTGATTTACTATAATAGGATGCAAGTATGATATCTTAGAATTTTAACCTTTATTTGTGGTCAAATTATAATATAGGAATGATATCCTCCTAAGGGGTAAGTGATCAGACAAAGTAATAAGACAAAGATATAGAAAGTTTTCTAAACAGATGGAATAGTAAATTTTGAGAAAGCAACAGGATTAGACTGTTTTTGCTAAGAACTATATACAGATGTATATGATTGGCTTCCAAATTTATCTGTCATGGAAATTCAGGCTTTGTGTATGTTTTAGTAACAAGTTCTCAACATTGGATTAAGGATTTTACACATAAATTGTATTGATCTATCTGGCAACATTAAATGAGAGAAGAGTTCATTCTATGATTAGATACTCATGAATTTTAAAAGATTCTTAAATCAGGTACGGGATTTAGATAAGGACAGAAACAGCACATGATATATAAACTGAAATTCTCTGAAGTTTCAAAATTGGAGAATCAAATTTAAATGACTATACTAAATTATATTATGTCAGAATTATCTAGGAACCTCTAGAGTTGGAACCAGAGAAGCAGAACCCCCTTCAAAGCTGTCCTGAGAATAAAGCCTATTGTCCAAGAAAAAAATATCTAGGGACCAGATCATCTGGGACTAAATGTACTGATTAAATGGATATTGAGAGCAGGTTATTAGGATACAAGGAGACTTGATGTTAGTTAATACTGGTGATATTGTATTTCTTTGCATGATTTATATTTAAGTTTTCTTGGTTAACTTGGTGACATGTAAAACTCCTTTTTTCACAACTAGTCTGTTGTGAGCCCTCTAAGTAGTTTGACCTGTAATGTGAATGATTATAAATGGTTGGGAAACTGGACCTTCTCTATGTGCTGTTTAGAGATCCCTAACCAAGGGCAGGTGTTATGCTGACCAGAAACTCATCTAAAGATTGAAGTAAGGAGTTTTCTCTAAGGGCCCCAACCAGGTCCTTCTGACTACTCTGACAACTGCCAAACTTGTGGGTGTGTACTCCTGGATCATCTGAAGAAAACCCCTCCTCCTGAGTGAATGGCAGAACCCTCTGGGGACCTGACCCAGAAGCAGCTCACACCCAAACAAGACAGTTGTCCCAAGATTCCGGATAAGGGATAAGTAGACTGTCCTAGTTTTTTTTTTTTTCTCTTCCCTTTTGTTATATGCACAGTCACCAAGGGAAGCATGTACTGGCATTTTCTCCCTCTACATTCCCGGCCCCCATCTCTTTTCTGTTTGCAAGTGAACAATGGCTAGACAAGATCTATTCAACTCAACATCTCATCCTGGCCCAATTGGCCTCTCCTGGTATCTTGGCTTATACCTGCCTCTCCTTTATTGGCCAGAAGGGTGTGTTCTTTCAGACCCCCTTCCTTTGACCAAAATAGGGAAATGTCAAGATATTAGGAGACACCCTGTTTTCCAGAGCTAAGGCCCAGCAAGCACCATGCCCTGAGTTTGGCATAACAACAGTCCTTTGAGCTCACACTCTGGATGAACACTGCTGCAACTAAATCACAGAACTGATGGTCCCTGAGCTCAGGCGAGTACCAGCAGGCCCAGATGTGAAGCCCTGCTATGAACAGACTTTTTGTAAATAGACAACCTTGCCTCACTGTTGCTACACTGTACTGTTTGATTTTTTGTCTAGTCACAAGTATATAAATGAAGGTTCAGCCCCACTGCCTTGGATTCCTCCACTAGGGGCAGGGCTCTGGCACATGCGGCCTTGCACATGCAAGTCTTTTCCCTCATTTTGAAATTAAACTTCTGTTTGATTCCTGACTCTTCAGTCTGCAGCCTCTTCTGTTCGGCTCCAGCCGTCCACAGATTAGAGGCTGGTTGGGTCTGGTTTACATAACTATTTCTATTTATTAAAGTTATAAGGTTTACAAAACACTTCCCTCACAACTTTCCCTCCATCATCTCCATTTTATAGATGAGGGAAGGGATTAAGCATTTATTAATTAAGCACTTACTATGTGCCAGGCATTGTGCTAAGCCCTTTACAAATATTATCTCACTTGATCCTTACAACAATCCTTAGAGGCAGGTCCTATTATTATCTACATTTTACAGAGGAGGAAACCAAAGCAAACAGAGGAAAAGTGAATTGCCCAGAGTCACACAGCTTTAGACCATATCAAAGATTCTGTTTGCATGAATAATTATGATGAATCCTAGCACAATCTTTTGGTGGTGAAGTGGAACAAAAGAAAGTTTGTGCTCTCAGCACTTCTTCTGCACCTAACTCTGCCTACTAGCCAGGTTCAGAGACAGGTCTTTTTCTTCTAGTCCCTTCCAGTTCCTCCACTTCCTTTAGGTAAAAGGGGTACAGCACTGTGGTTGCAACCATCTCTTTCTTCTAGGGGAAATCTAAGTGAGCCCCGAATTTAAACTATAAGGTTTTGCTTATTGAGAGTTATAGGATCATTTAAAAAAGCTAAGCTGTAACTCCATAGCATTCAAGGGGGTTCTTTTTATCCTCCAAACAATTTACTCTGTGAAATATAAGAAATACCTCAGGGCTGTCCCCCTCCCCCAAACACATTCCAACCCAAGGACAGGCCCACAGACAACAGGAACAAATTCATTTATAAAAGGCAAACCAGGCTTCCAAAAATGCCATTAATAGAGGTAGTGGGGGAGAGATAGGAAAATGGCAAAAGTTGGATTTTCGTCTAATGCTTTCCAAATAAATGCAATAGAGGAAAGCACAATCTATTCCAGCCTGGGTTCCACAACTTAGGAGTATTTGCCAAACTGGGGGCTCCCAGCTGGATCAATCACTGCTGTTTCTGTCTTCTTGAAGATTCTCTACTCTGTGGATGCCATTGTGCTGTATTCCTGTCACAACTGCTTTGAGCAACTTCTCCACCATATTCCTTTGCTCCACTTTTGCTGCACTAGAGACAAGCACACAGGGTCTTACACCCTATTCAGGCTCTAGCTGATGCAAGATCTGTACTTTAATCTTAAATTTCCCCAAATCATTTCTTCTGTTTTCTTCCAGTCTAAAGGAATGGGTGGGGAAGAACCCCATTTCCCAAGGTACTTTTCCATTATTTATAATATTTCCCCTTTGAGGTCTTCAGAACTGGCCCCAGAGCAGCTGAGTTACACTAGAAATCTCCATCTGGCTTAAAATTTTTAGCAGGACATTTCTTAAAACTATGACACTGACTTCTTTCATTCTAAGTTGTACTAAATTAAAATGGACTGGTTTTGCTTATCAATGTAAAATGCCATTAGAAAAGTTTGATACATCTTGTTCATACATTTAGAGTACAGTATCTTATTTTTTTTGTATTAATTTTAGTTGGCTATCTTGCTTTACCTACACCTTGATCATATTAGCTTATATTTAGTAAAGATCCCTTTGTTCAATGATCCTTTAGTTACTAATACCAAGTAAAGCATAAAACAAGCATATGGTCAACAAAAGAGTTCACCACAGTCATAGTGGTAGAAGATGTCCAGCACAGAGTCCGCAGTGAAGAGTGGTTCCCTGTAGATGGGAAGGTCCTCCAGATGGCTCAGTTATCACATGACATTGGGCTGATTGCATCAAACCCTGGAACATTCCAGAGCTTCCTAAATAAGATCCATAATCACTTGGAAGAGTTTGGTCTTATCCTCCATAAAGGAGGTGAAGAATGTCTATTGTTCAGACTATCACGTGAAGTTGGATGAACAACACTTAGAGATCATCATTAGTACCTCTATCTGGAGCAGACACTGACAATGGACAATGACCTTGTCCTAGAATTGAACAGGTGAAGAGCAGGCTAGGTTACCTTTGGCAAATCATATAATTCTTTTAATGACTCCAAGTTTCTCCCTCAAACAAAGGCTTATATTTTTTACATCAAAACACTTCTATTGATGTTATATGGCAGTGAGTCATGGAATACCTCCATGTCTGACAAATTAAAGTTGAGTTTCACTCAAAGTCTGAGCAGGCTACATCACAATACAATAAGGAATTAAGCATGGTAAGCAGTGTAAAGGATGCCACCAGAGAAATGTACAACTATTAAAAAAAAAAGATGAGGCAGTCATATAGGAAGAATGAGGGATAACCAATAAACAGTTTGCATACTCCTGTGGTATTTATGCAATGTCAAGAGAATTCAAGTGGCCATCTATGGCCCTGGGGTGAAGGAAGTATCCCAGGGCTTTCAAATGTTATTCCACCAGAGAATTCTGGTTTGCCACACCAAAGTCAGAGTCAGAGCCAATAAACATATATTAAGCACTTGCTACGTGCCAGGCATTGTTCTAAGAGCTGAGGAGACTAAGGAAAGGATAAGACAGTCTCTGTGCACAAGGAGCTTACAATCTAATGTGGGGAAGACTACACATAAAAAGAAGCTGAAAAGGGTGGGGAGAAGTTACCTCCTGTGCTGAAGTCTGGTGGCTAGGGAGGGAAATGATCTGAAGAGGTGAGAGTTTCAGTTGATTTCTTCTTGTAGAATGATGAGTTTCTGGAGATCAAGAAAGCATCCGGGTGGGAAATGATAAGTGAAGCAAATTACTTAAGAGCCCTCCTTAAATAGTAGAGCTTTATGGGGGAGGTCTTCAATTCCTATCCTCCACCCTCTCCAAAAAAGAGGAAGGAAGAGGACCTTAGGTTAGAGGTGAGAGTTTCAGTGTTGATTTCATCTTGCAGAATAATGAGTTTCTGGGGAAAAAAGTATAAAAATCAGAAAAGTGTTTGAACATAGACAGTTGATAGATTGCATGTCTGTCCCTCACCTCACATGTCTAGTCACTTGTCCAATTTTGTCATTTCTACCTTCACAATGTCTCTTGCATCTGAGCCTTTAATTCACACAGTTATTGCTTTAGTTCAGGTCTGCTCACCTAGAATATTTCAATAGCTTCCTAAATCGTTTCCCTGTCTCAGGTCTTCACCCTCTCCAGGCCATCCTCCACATTGCTGCTAAAGTAATTTTGCTTAAAAGCCTGTCTGACCATATGACTTCTCTGATCAACTGACTTGCCCCAGGGATCAAATATAAACTCCTGTTTGGCTTTTAAAGCCCTCCCCAACCTATCTTTCTAGACTCAGTGGACATTGCTCCATGTCCCATACTCTACCATTCGGGCCACTCTGTTCCTTGTGTGGTAGTCCATCTCCTATCTTCATGCCTTTTGATGGCTATCCCCTATGCCTAGAAAGCATTCGTCCTCATCTCTGTTTCATTGAATCATTCTCTTCTTTTGAGATAGAGCTCAAGCACCACCTTCTGTGTGAAGCCTTCCCTACTCTCCTCAACAACCAGTTTCCTCCTCCTCAGACTATGCTTTATTTAACTGCTTTTTATTCTTTTTATATTTATTCTATAAATACTTATATATGTCACACTGTCTCCCCACTAGAATGTAAGATCCTTGCCAGTAGAGATTATTTCATTCATTGTATTTGTGTCCCCAGCACCTAGCATAGTGCCTGATACAAAGTGGGCATTTAATGAATAATTGATTGATTGATTAATTGATCATGGGCCAGCCTAGTTAAGTTCAGAGAGGCTCATTACCACAAGGTTAGCCATAAGGTGATGTTGGAAACTGGCTCTAATACCAGTATTCTCTTAGTTCAGGTTAGATGTTGGGACAAAATGAGGCACTAAGAAGTCATTGAACAACAAATGAAAAGAGGTTGGCTTTGCCCTAACACAGCATGGATATGCAATAAGGACATAGTGATACTCAGCTTCTCTGGATACAAGCCTCCCCCACCCCAGTCTCCATATGAAAACACATCTGAACATCCAGTCATCAGGGCAGAACATGGTGAAGGGCACTGTGACTTGTACAGTCTTCAGAAGTCCACCAAATCTGAGAGGCCCAGACTCCTCTTAACTGGGACGTTTTATGCTCTTAAATGACCAGGATGCTGCACAAAAGAGGCCAAGGCCTATCAGGTCCCAGGGACAGCTTTGTCTCCTTTTAGGGAAAGCTCATCCCTGTTGGAGGGAAGGAAGAAGGGCCCGAGTCTATCCCATATTATGCGTTGGGAGAAAGAAGCTGCATCAGGGAAACACTGGTTAATGTTAGTCCTATCACAGGTGTAAGTATATTTTCAAACCATCAACTTGTCAAGACAGTCTTACTTGATGTGGTGGGGTGAAGATCTGAAGCAGCATTCCTATCATTGAAATCACTAAAGTGGCTGAAATATGAATTTCAGAATTCCTTGACTAGGAACATTTTCAATAGAAGATGTTAGGGAGGTATATGAATCACTATGAAAAATATTTTAACAATCCATAACAAATCATGGAACTACTTTCAAATGACTTATTTTTTTTCTGAAAAAGCCCCTGTTGCTGACCATCTTCCACAGAAGCCTCCAGCTTCAGGTACCCTCAGGCCCTCTCGTGGCCAGGTGTTTTCTAGGTCTTTATCCCTTTTTCAGTCAAAATTGGATGACAAGTGACCTTCTGCCAGGATCAGTTTTCTAGCCATGGATGTTAGCATTTTCCTCTTTCTTTTTTTTCTTCTCTTTTCAATTAACATACACACATTCACTCAAAGTGGCAGAGTGGATAAGGCGCTGGACTTGAAATCAGGAAGATTTGAATTCAAATTCTACCTCAGACACTTACTAGCTGTGTGACCTTGGGCAAGTCGTAGTTTTTCTCTGCCTTCAGTTTTCTTATCTGTAAAATGAAGGTAGAACTTCTGGCTCTTAATCTATGACCCAGTGACTTTTTTTTTTTAAATGGGATAGTACTATAGCAAGGGTGAAGTATAACTAATAGAAAGCTTGAATTCTCCTGTGACATTCACTCAATGCCAAGAGGAGCCTATGATCTTAAGAAAAGACTTTCAGCTTTAAATACGGGGCTTCTGAGCCCTCTTATACTCCACTTCCACAGAGGAAAAAGTAAAACATACTATTATGTGATCCATCTGCTCCTCATTTTCTTTTCTACAGTATTCCCTCAAATAACACAATTGTTCAAATTTAAGCAAGCAGCTTAAAATGAAAGTTTTCTAATTTTCTAATAATGAAAAAAAAATTTCTAATAATGGAATTCTCTATTGTTGTTTTCCTCTCTCTTAGTGTAATGGGTGGTCTGAGTGTGACAAATACCACTACCAAATTGTGGCAGGATGACTCACTGAGAGAGAGAGAGAGACAGAGAGAGAGAGAGAGAGAGACAGAGAGACAGAGAGGCTGGATTTTTCCTTTGTCAATTCAATGACCACAAAAAATAAACCTGACACAATTTTTGTGGTTCATTAGTTTTACTCCTTTTTCCTCTGAGAGTGTAGAACTTTTAACTCTAACTTAGTAATTAGCCAGACTCAAACAGATGAAACTTAAGTAGTTTTGAGAAGTGGGGGGGAAAAAGTGATTCTTTAAAGGGACAGGACTAAAGAAAACCTTTAGCTTACATGCACATCTTAAAGGATCCTATAAAAACTTCTTTTCTCCTTATTACCTCTTTCCCTAAAATTATTTTCTTCTGTCTTCAGAATATAACAACAGACCCTTAGAATACACATAAAAACTCTTGATAGATGATTCCTAACACATTCAGTCCAGTGTGTAAGTGATCCTGCCAAGAAGAAAAGTTGGCTTGTCTGTTCACTCTAACCTTTTAAATAAAATTCTAAGAAATGCTAGCCTTTCAAGATTTTCCTCATAGAGCCCTTTGCCCTCAGGCAAACCATGATCACATTATAAATCCTGAAAAATATATTGGTGAACATGATAAGTTGAGTCACTAAATGCTAAGAGCCCTAATCTAGTTTTGCATAGAAACAATTTGTGAAGACTGGGTCTGCCAGTGCTACAAAAAGCCTCTTTTAAGGTAACCAAGAAAGTAAATGGCTTGTGTCCTAAAGCCACAGACGAGCTTATTCTATTGCACTACTGTGAAGATGGCAGAGTATGTTTTTAATGGATTTTCAACCTCTGTTGGATTGGAAGGACCCCCAGCCCTTAAAGTCCCTTTGTAAAAGCCTCATTAACACGGGCGTGTCTTCCCAGACCTGGCACCAAAGGACCCGAGGTTCCTTCTGCAGTATTCTCCCTGGCTCTGCCCAGCCACACTCAGCATCCAATAATCCCTTGCTCCCCTTATTGGTATGATTTCTGAAGTTTACCTGTTGTGAGTTCCATTCTCAAATGGTTGCTTTCTGCAAATAACTAGATAATCTAATAAAAGCCTTTTTGATACTCTAACAGGAGCAGAATTGAGCATCAGAATATTTCCCTGGGCCTTTCCACCTTTTTGACTCTGCTAGCCATTTAAAAAAAAGTATGACTTTCTAGAGATTTTACCCTTATCTTTATCTGCCTCAGGAGAGTGACTGATAGAGTTTCAGATCACATGTGGATCATAGATCGACAGCTGGAAGGACCTCAGAGATTACGTAGTCCAACCCTCTAGCTTTATATATTGTTTATATAACCCTGGGTACTTCTGGCATGAAGAAATACACGCTTGAAGAAGTTCTGCTGACCTGAAGAAATGGTTTGCCATGATCTACGGTCAAAATAGGGGCTTTATATCTTGTGTGTGTGTGTGTGTGTGTGTGTGTGTGTGTGTGTGTGTGTGTGTGATTGCCTCTTAAAAAGATTTCTTTTTCTCTTCTTGCCTGAATGTACAAAGGCAGAAAGAATACAGTTTGCTTATAGGGCAGAGCAGCAGTTGACATGGAATATACCCTTCTCAAAGCCTGTAAGAAACAGAGTATTGCCTCTGCAAATTCCCCAGCTCCTCCTACCCTGTCTAGGGAGTGGGAGAAGAGGCTCAAACTAATCACCCTGCATTCCCACACTCCCCTTTGTATGTTACTTTTATCTTGCTACTAACTAGGTGTGTTGCAAAGCTAGGACCTAAGGATAAAGAGAAAGAAACAGACTAAACTTCAAATCACAGCCCTATTCATTTCAACTGGTAATTCAGTGCTGCCCTCGGCTTGATGGATAGGCTAGAGACAGGCCCCAGGCCTTGTTAAAACCTTCTCCCCTTCTCCCCTTTCTTCACAGCTTCTCAAAGCTTTTTAAAGCCTTCTTTCAATGGGGAGCTTGAATGAGCAGTATCTTTGCAATTCTGTGTAAAGATAACTCGGTTTGCTCTGGCCTGGGCTCCAGGGGAATCTTTACTGTAGTCTCTTAAACCAAGGCCTCAGTGGTTTCCCTCTGAGGTCCCAATTGCCCCTGGAAGTCCAGAGGCATGAGGTAGGAGTGCAAATCTTCCACTTAGCATTTTTCTTCAACTCCATCTCCTCTAAGTTAGTCAAAATAGGGGCTTTATATCTTAAAGGGACAGTGTTTCATTTTCTCTTTGGCTTGGAGGAGATGCTCTTACAAGAAAGAGGGTTGGACACAGTTCCTCCATGCCTTAAGGGTTTTGAATTGAGTGGTAGTACAGAAATATGAATAGTTCAAATTCAGGTTTCAAATTGAATTTCAATTTTTGAAGAATAGGAGAGATGAAAGAAACATTTACTCTCGCCATCACCATGGGGGTTAATCGGGGATGTGTTGCTAAATGTTTAACAACTGGCTCTCTGGGTGAAATG